GATGTACGGACGTTGGACGTATAGGTATTTGTTATTCTTTCACTCAAAAGCGGCCGGACCGATTTAGCTGAAATTTAGTATGTAGATAGGTTACTTTTATATCGTCGACATAGACTTTTAACCACCACAAAGGGCAAAGCCGCTGGCGGAAGCTACTAATCTATATTTTTTTATTACCAACACATAATATTTACACTAACAATGATTAATCGATCCAAACTCACAAGTGGCGCCATCTACGAAACGCGAAAACGCCCTCGTTACCAATTTTCACAGCAAGGTTTAGCATTATTTATTTATAAATGCAGCCGAGGTGTGGTGAGACCTGGCAGAGAATTGCAATGGCCCAAATTCATATTTAAAAACACGCAAACAACACCTACTTCACAGTTCGATTGTTTAAAAAATGAGAATTAAAATGCATGAGGGCAGTTCGCGTGGTTGTCAGTGATCTATATTTTTTTTTAGTTCCTCATTTTTACAATGTTGATCTGTAATCCTTCACATTGTAACTGACACAATAATTAAAGGTTGCTTCGTTGTGATTATAAGCCGAACAAAGGGCCTCGGGTTTCCTGGCAAGCAAGGCATTATTGGGGTAACGGTTCAATAGTTACTAAAATTCTCAAAATTAATGAATCCTTCAATGAGTTTAATAGAAGCATTCTTTTGGATTGTGAGTATGCATATGTGAGCGCCATTTTCGAGACGACAAAGGATTAATTTTTTTATGATAGATACCATCATTTGTTCCTTTTTATTAACAACTTGTCTCTGCATTGTTCTCACATAGGGGTACAGTAATATATAAAAAAGGTAATTATTGGTAAATTGTAAAACAAATATTTTTTTAAAAAGAATAACGATGGAGTTTCTTGCTCGTTCATCCCCATTCGAAACTACAATTTGGAACGAGCACCTAGCTTCACTGACGAACAGACAGACAGTCTACTATTCTATTTTGACGTTTCAAAAGTACCTGTTTATGGTTTAGTTGGAATAAATGATTTTGATTTGATTTGATTTAAGACGAAAATTTCGCAGTGATCGTAGAAATCAGCGATTATGCCCGCCCGGTTAGATAGGCGCGCATACCGCATGAGACTCATTATATATCTTTTTTCGTATGTGATATGACGGCAAACGAACATACGTTTACCTGATGTTAAAAAATCAACGCCGACCATGGACACCTGCTAAAAAGAAGGAGTTACGAGTGCGTTGCTGGCTTTTTGGGGATCAAGATTTTGGAGATTGAGGGATGGGAAGGATTGGCGCTTCCTGTAACCTCACCCACACCATGAAACACTGTTATCTTAAACATTATAGGTAGCTATAATTTTAAATAACTTCAGATAAAACCCTTTTATTTTGTGAGGGGAAAATCATCAAATGCCTTCTCCCACCCAGGGGCGGGCGGGAAGGAGTGTCAGACTCTTGCTGACTAAAAACCCCACCGTTTCTTCTCCTGCTCTGGGCCTTGGCCACGGTACCTCATTGCCCCGCAACCAAAACCCTTACCAATTTTCTTAGAACTGCTTCTTCAGTCTACTTTATTACCATCATCACAATTACCACTGTGGTTGACTGGTAGAGAATGCCTTAGGGCATTAAGTCCTCCTTTGTACTTTTAAGTACCTACATAAAGTGTTAAAATAAAATAAGTAACTTATTCGATCCCCTTTCCTCCCCCTCTCCCCATTTTTTTATATGATAGGTAGGATGGCCTTGATGGTAAGCAATCGGCGTCGCCCATGAACACCCGCAACACCAAAGGAGTTACGAGCGCGTTACCGGCATTTTAGGGGATAAGGGTTTCGGATATATAAAGATTGGGAAGGGATGGGTAGAGTGGGAGGGATTGGGACTCACACGGCGAATCACAACACTGTACTTGTTTCACGTCGGTTTTCAGTAAGGCCGTGGTATTACTGCAGTCGAGCCGACCTGTTTGTGCCGAAGCATGGCTCTCCCACACTTAAAAGCTCCTTCATTTTCATTTTTAACATATTATCGCTGTATAATATGTGGTGCATCGATAACTAAATAAATGAATTCCAATTCCATCCATTATGTAACTTAAAAGTCCAAGTCAGAGTCAAATAATTTATTTGAAATAGACCACTACAAGCACTTTTGAATGTCAAGCAACAAAAAAATATATCACAAGGCTTAACTTTATGTGCGTTAGTCTATCGACCTACACTCTAGTAAAGCTATTTGCTCATTCCTATGGAGAAGAACAGACGGGACAGTTAGGTACTTTTTTCCAATCAGTTTTACCTACCTACCTACTTAAACATAATACAGTTAAAATTGGACTTCCGATTTAATAATCTATTTTGCCCAAGAACACTGTAATTGCAGCTGTTTGTTACTGTGTCTCACAAATTCATAAACTAATAAAAAAAACAAAACAAAAGCTGGCAAGTACCAATGTGACTTTTTCTGAGATAACTCAGAAATTCTATAGTATTTATGGTTATTTAGACACCACTGACAAACGGTGAAGGAAAATATTCTAAGCAAACTAGGACTCATAATTTTTTAATTATAAGTTTAAAGTTGCCATACCGCCATTGAGCAAGCATGGTGGTTAATGGTCAAGCCTTCTCCGTCTGAGTAGAGGCTTTAACTCAGCAGTGGGCACTTAGAAGGATGTGTGATGAAATAAGACCAAACTATAAGCATTTTTAATTTTGAATTAGCGTAGATTAAATTTAGCAAGTATTTGTGTTATTCAGGATTAGCGTACTTCCGTTTAGACAATACAGATTGTAGGAGAAGAGAATACAATTTGCAACAAATAACAAAAAAAAATTAAACTGCCCATCATCATAGACAACAGTCATACTGCAGCAAAAGAAATAAACTTAATGACTCCGACATTATGCCATTCTGCCTAATAGAATATTTCTCATTCAAACAAATTAAGTTATCCAAATAAGTATGTTATAATAGACAACATATAAAGACACAAATAAACCACGAATTATTATCATTAAATATTAGAAATCATACATCCATTTTTGGCAAGCAAATTTAATATTTGTATTAGGCTGTATGTAGATATACATTGGGCTTACCTTTTTAAAAGTTCATTATTTCATTTTTACTGTTAGGTCACTGATCACTGCTTACAAAGATTTTGAAAAATGTATTGTAAGTAGTTTAATTTTGGTATTATCTAATCAACAAAAACTCCATAAATTACCCATTTAATTTTGTGAGTACCTAATATTTTTGGTTTTATAGATTGTGGTAAATGTTATTGAAATGTTGACTGTAGAAGTTTATACAGGCCATTTAAAAAGTAAGTACTTGTGAAAGAAATTCGTAAACAATAAAAATACACACCTTTAATAAGTAATCCATAAGTTTACGTCGACGACACATAATCACGCACTCACAACACGACTTAAATACATTTTTATACAATATAAAAGTCATAAATCCAAAACTTTTCCTACCGAAAATAAACTTTTTCGTTCGCAATAAAAGTTTTTCCACAGACCGTCACGTCACGTAAATATTTTCATCGAACTGTCAAAATTATATTACCCGACCGAAAAAACGGAACGCGGATACGGAACAAGGGTTTACATAAACGCGTCATTATTATTTAGCCGGGTTATAATTCGAAAAAAAATCGCTTAGTATAAAAAAATAACGTTTGCGTTTTGTTTTTGTATTAATTTTAAACGAATGTAAGGAGGATATCCAAGTTTTTCTGTGTCGAAATTGCGGCGCGTAAACACTTCTGTCCGGTTAGAATGGCCTTCTATTACTGTTCAAGAAGTATGGCGGGATAGTATTGGCCGTTCGCTAGTCGCGGCCGGTCCACGCACTAAGTACTTATGTACCCGAGTACCTCTATAGTAATGCTACAATAATTATGGTGACAATTACTGAACAAAATAATGCTACTGTTTGAGGTCATTCGCGCGCTTTTTATTTTATAATCGACTAACGCAATGACCTTATTTTCATAATGAGATGATCGTTGTGCCTGTAATGAGTTTTGATACTTTTAATGTTAAAACTTTAAATTTTAATTTGGTTTCGAATGTTTTGTTTTTTAATGACGCATTTAAATTAGATTGTTTTGATTTTGGAGTGATGAGTGCGAGTGTCGAGGACGAGGTATCGGGTTCGATTTCTTTCTAGTCAGATAAATTAGTTTTAGTTTCTTCAGGTTTTAAATAAGTCTGTGTTAGGTACCTTATTAGTCAGAGATAAAAAAATGTATCCCCCCTCCCCCAATGGTTTTTTTCTGTGTCGTGGGTACAAACATACAAGTTCACAACCACAAGCTAACTAGACTCGAAACATCAATTTGTGGATGATGCTGTGGATGTTGTTGATGATGATATGATGTTGGATGATAATGCACAGAGTTGCTCCGTGCAGGAGGCCGAACAAACTAATTTCTTTTATATAATATAACGAGCACACGCATTAGCTTATGGCAAGCAATCGGCGCCGCCCATGGGCACCCGCGGTATTGGAGGACGAGTGCATTACCGGTCTTTGGAACAAGCACCTAGCTTCACCGACGAACAGAATGGCAGACTACTATTCTATTTTGACGTTTCAAGAGTACCTATGGTTTAGTTGAAATAAATGATTTTGACCTCGACTTTGACTTTTGGAGATTGGGGTTACTGAGATTTAGTGATTGGGGAAGGGGAAAAAGCATCGGACACCAGTCTGCTGCCTGACGACTGCGCCAACTATGCATTAACAAAATAGTGGCGAAATTTTTAATCGTAAGTAGGTGTATGAGTTTCTGTAGCACTGCCTACCCTCCGGTTAAGGATAATAGTAAATTTGTGTCACATGAAGTGCTCCATTGCGCGACGTAGTCTGTTGTAGGTTATGAATACGAGTCCCGGAGATGATTGAAATCGGACGAGCAATTCTCGGACACGGTGAGAGAGAGAGAGGAGCTATGTGCGTGTGTGTGTGAGAGATAGAGAGAGAAAGAGAATAAAACGTTGTTCAATTTAAAAATATTTATTTATTTACACATCCATCTTTCCTTCTGCTTCCTCGTTGGGATCAGCTAATTTTCTTTTCTTTTTATAGTGTTCTATTCTTTCTTCTAGACTTGCTGCAACAAAATTATCAGAATATTTAAAAACCAATAAAGATTTTACACATTTAAAATCCCAAAAATGGTCTTATTTATAACAAAAAGGAGTCCAATAAAAAAATCGAGTGACAATGTCCAAAGAAAAATTAACCTAAATTCAAATTCATTAAAGTTGAAAATCCAATGTGTCTTTATTGTCACAAATAAGAATAATTACATACATAAGCAAAAACAATCCTAATCCTTATAACAATAAGGTTAAAACTCTAATATACTTACAACACGTATCTCTCTTCAGCAATGGCTTATATACTTTAGCTTTAACACCCTGTATGAGACAATCAGCATACGCTATAACTCTGTCCTTTTCTCTCTGCTGGCTGTCTGTATCTTGCGTCTCGCTCTCGCACTTGCTATACAGGGATTCAATTTCGTTGATAACTTCTTTTATCATTGTTGTTCTGAAAAAGTGTTAAAAATAAGTAAGAGAGCCATGCTTCGGCACAAATGGGTCGGCTCGACCGGAGTGATACCGGCCGTGGTAACAGAAAACCGACGTGAAGCAGCGCTTGCTTTTTGTTTCGCTGTGTAACTAAGATTTTGAGAGCGCAAAAAAAACGATTTTCAATCCCTTTTTTAATTTATAGAATCAGGCGTTACTGCGACAAAAATCCAGGCTTGTTGCAGGATGCAATCCCACTTCTATACAAAAAACGGAAAAACATGTTTTTCCGTTTTTTGTTACTCTTGCTGCATGTGCATATGCATGATTGCATAGGAGTGGGATTGCATCCTGCAACAAGCCTGGATTTTTGTAGCGGAATTAAAACTAAATATATTTTCCTAATATTTAAAATCCCTTTTTTTGTAAGGGGAAGATCATCAAACGACTTCTGTGACTGTCAGACTCTTACTGACTAAAAACCCCCCCGTTCCTGCTCCTGCTCTATAGTTCGTTCCATAATTAGAGACAACGATTTGACATTTCGAGTGTTGCAAGTTTTTTCCAATTCATAAATAGTGAAGTCCCGCGACCGGTATTGACCGAAAGACCGAAATTAAATTTTGGACTTCGTGCATTTTAAAAGCTTTATTATTTTTAGCTACTTTCCCTGGTACCTTCCTGTGCCCATACTAACTCAGTCGGGTTAAAATCACAATGGTAAGGAGGCAACCGTAAATTAGTGCCCACCTTTTAGCAGCCACCAGTCCACGACGTATCGTTCATAATTACTCTTCTATTTCCGGGAAATCTCCAACAGCTCGGCTTTCAGCATAGGTTCCTCAAATATAATGTTTTTCTTTTAGCCAGTCTTGGATTTGGCATTTTTTATTTTAAAATATTATTATTAATTCCACTAAACTATAAAAACATCACCGCAACGTTGTTTTATTTTGCTCAGGGTATTTTATAAAAAAACGGTATCGGTATTTTATTTTAAACATCGTACTCAGGCCCATCACTATGTTAAAAAATCTGGCCACATTATTTTGTAGTTTGACATTTGCTGTTGTCAAATTGTTGTCTCTAATTATGGAACGAACTATAGGCCGAGGTCGCGGTGCCTCATTGCGCTTACCCTGCAACCCCGGCGTGAAAGGAATCAAATGTTCATCCATCTATACTAATATTTTATAGAGATAAAATTTGTAAGTTTGTATGTAGGGGGTAATCTTTGGAACCGCTGGTCGGATTGCCAAAATTCTTTCACTGATAGATAGCTACAATGTTCTTGAGTGCTATAGGCTATAAAACATAACGCTACGATTAAATGGAGCCTGGCAGCGGGTGAAACCGCGTGAGAGTACCTAGTATATCTATAAGACAATTCATTTGTCTGTCGATTCCTCTTTTACTGAATTACAAAATACACAATTCGCTATATTTAAACTTCCTCTGTTTTATTCAGAGTAATAACACTGACAATTATAATGTCAGTGACGCCATACATAACCAGTGTAAACTTGAACTGTTTTATATCCATAACTTACGAAAAGCCCGCAACGCACATTTTTAACCCCCGATGCAAAAAGAGGGGTGTTATAAGTTTGACGTATCTGTCTGTCTTTGTATTTTTTTTTTATGTAATAGGTCGGCAAACGAGCAGACGGATTACCTGATGGTAAGCAATCAGCGCCGCCCATGGACACTCGCAACGTAGGAGTTACGAGTGCGTTGCCGACCTTTTAGGGATTAGGGATTTGGAGATTAAGGGATTGAGGAGGGATTGGGAAAGGGGAAGGATTGGGCCTCCGGTAACCTCACTCACACGGCGAAACACAACGCAGTGGTTATTTCACGCCAGTTTTCTGTGAGGCCGTGGTATCACTCCGGTCGAGCCGACCCATTCGTGCCGAAGCATGGCTCTCCCACACTTTCAAATTGAAGGTAGGCGAGAATAAAATTGAAAATACAAAACCTGACTCAATGGTTTATCACATCATCATCAGCCTATAAGAGCCCACTGCTGAGCAAAGGCCTCTTCTCACACGGAGAAGGTTTGATTGAGCATTAATCACTACGCTTGCTCAATGCGGGTTGGCGATTTCAAACTTATAATTAGAAATTATAGGCCCAGGTTTCCTCACGATGTTTTCCTTCACCGTATGTCAGTGGTGTCTAAATAATCATAGACAGTACATGTAACTCGGAAAAAGTCACATTGGTACTTGCTAGGTTTCGGGCCCGCACCCTCATGCATGAGAAGTGGGTACTTTAACCTCCAGGCCACCCACCCACCACCACCATTCAACAATGGTTTAAACCTAGACTAAACATAAATCTTGTTTTGTAATATTAGGGGTCTAACATAACGATGACACTCAGAAAAATCATTGGATAATCCCCCTCCCCCCAATTTCTAATGACTTACTTGATGCTATGCAGTGTCCATTCACTCTGCAGATGGCCCAAGACTTCTGCGAGCTCCTGTTTGCTATACCTCCAGTCCTGAGTCTCAGTTATATCGTAAGAACAGTGAAATAAATTCAGAGGCAAATCCAACGCCATGTTGTATTGGGGTTTCCTACAAAAAAAAAAATTCAATACCATTAATTTTTCACTGGTCACACTCATTCTTCATACGCAACGAGGTCGAAACGTCAAGCCTTCCAAGGTATTTAAGTAATCCGATAGTTTCTAACTAGTCAAATTCAATACTTTTATCCAAATGCCAAAAACGTTAATTTTCTATGAAATTTGTATGAAATTCTGAGTTATGACGTCATTGTATTTTTACGTCAAATAGCTTACCTACTTATTTCTTAAAAATTAGCTAAAAAATATCAAAAATTTAGTGTATCGATCGATCGATGAATAAAAGTTTAATCATTTTTCAATATTTTGTTGTATTGAAACGTCGAATTAATTTATTTTTGACCTAGGCAACCGCCCAATTACTTTTTGCGTTAAGCGTAATTATATGTTGTTATTCCAAATTCCTTTTTTTCTCGCACAGCAAAACTTTGGAATGATCTTTCGGCGGGCGGTATTTCAGAACCGATACGACCTTCAAACCTTCAAGAAACGAGCGTACTCCTTCTTAAAAGGTCGGCAACGAGCTTGAGAATTCTCTGGTGCTGCAGGTGTCCATGGGCGTCGCTGATCACTTACCATCAGGTGATCCGTCTGATCGTTTGCCTTCTATTCCATAAAAAACTAAATTCACCCTGCGTATCATAGGCTAATATGTCCACCCTTAAGAAGCCGGGAAAAACCGCCAGCAAGAAATAAAACAACTGCGGTTTTTTCATTAGAACCGCTAAGGAGTTTTTGCTTTGCCGGAGTCTGTGTTCCCCGAAGGGTATAACCTGGGTGTCTTCAAGGCCCGAGTGAATAGGTTGCTTATGGGTAGGCGTGCTCCATCGTAGGTCGCATCATCACTTACCACAAGGCGAGATAATAGCCAAACATGAGACAAAAAAAACTGTTCCTACGACGGGGAAAAATTTATGTAGTCGTTTCATAAAAGCTGGACACTAGGATTTTCACCTGTGTGAGGGTTTTTTTTTGGGAGGAGAAAATGACTTCTCCCGCCCAGGGCCATTCAGACTCTTACTGACTAAAAACCGCCCTGTTCCTTCTCCCGCTCTGGGCCGAGGTCGCGGTGTCTCATTGCGCTTACCCCGCAACCCCAGCTGAACATCAGCTCTATAGGACCCCGTCTGTGGTTGTCTATTGGCTCTTTAAGGCGCGCGCGGAACGCTACGCGCCGTACGCTTGGCACCTGTGTGTGGGTGCGTTAACAAACATACAATTCCACATACACATCACACCCAGACCCGGAACAACAATTTGTGGGTCACACATAGAGTTTTTCTGTGCGGGTATCGATCCCACGAAACGTTAAGCGGCAGCCAGTCGTGCTGTCCTATAAATACAATATAACTAAATATATCTCTTTTCAAATTATACCTTGGATTTTTCTCCACATCCAATAATTCCTTGATGACTTCCGGTTGCTCCTTACCCTGGCCGATGAGGAGTAGAACGCCCATGATGCACCGGATCTGATGCCATAGGAAGGCGTTACCTTCGATCTGGAGGTAGTACATTGACGTCGCTGTAAGCAAATATAGAATTGCTATGCGTTAGTTTCGCTCAGAACTCGACAACGGCTGCACCTACAAGGCTGAATTTGATCTTAACTATTGATGATAGAAGTTCAGGGAAGGTACAGACATTGAGAAAATATTAAAAAAATGCGTGTTATAATTGTTTTTTTCTTTCTTTCTTTCTGTTAAGTACTAAAAGCGAAAATTGTATCCGTCGATCAATATCAACGATAACTCTAAACTCAATAGAACTAAGCTTCGTCAAGAATATTTCGGCTCGACTGGAGTTATACTATGGCCTCATAGCAAACCGGCGTGAAACAAAACTTATCTACGTTGTTCCGCCGCGTGAGTCAGGGTACCGGAGGCCTCACCCCATACTCAATTCTAAAAACCCACAAGATGCCGACAACGCTCTTGTAGTTACTGCTTTGGTATTACGAGTATGACCAGTTTTTTTTTAGTTTGTTTTTTTATTGTGTTCTTGTGTCATGGCTGAGTTTATAAACATACAGTTTCACATACACATACACACACACACACACACACACAGATACACAGATAAAAATCTGTGGATCACACAAAGAGTTGTTCCGTGTAATCGAACCGAAGTATAAGCGAAAATTGGTAAAAAGACGAGCCTTTCGCCATTATCGATATAGTAGGATATATATAGTATACGAATATGTATAGTATACGAATCAGGGTCACTACTGACTACATAAAAATCAACTCACGTGACTCCAAATCGTCAGGGTTCACAGCAAAAATATCAGCCGACAAGATCTCCCTGATGAATTCCACTACGCCGTTTCCGACATCCATCTTGCAAAGGTTGCGGTAATCATTCGACCCTTTGAGGTAACTGCAGGCTTCCTTCATAGCTCTGATGTCAAGCATGGATCGAGGGAAATAGTATTTGTATAGTCTCTTCTTGCAATCAAACCTGGAACAACATCATTATAATATTATAAAGAAAAAAAGCGCGTAAGTACACATAGTTTTTTTCTGATAGAATGGTTATCGTGCTGACTACTACCTACTGTTTAGCGTGTGTTAAAATGAAGGCTTCATCTTCATCATCTTTATCAATCTTTACTTTCAGCTCAATCAGTCGAAAATCTAAGAAGATTTATACAAACTTTCATCCCCTATTTTATCCCCTTAGAGGTGGAATTTATCAAAATCCTTTCTTAGCGGATGCCTACGTTATAACATCTACCTGCATGCCAAATTTCAGTCCGATCCGTCCAGTGGTTTGGGCTGTGCGTTGATAGATCACTATATCAGTCACCTTTGAGTTTTATATACATATATTTAGAAGAAAGAAGAAGAAGATAGAAGAAGTAACACAAGAAGTAAGATCTAAGTTCGTGTATCTTTAGCCACAAGTCCTTACCTAGCACTAAATTCAGGTAAATTTTCAGGTATAGGCATCCAGGCGACTGCTTTAATATCCTTAGGAAGAAGCCTGTTCAGGATCTTGCAATAATCCATTTCGTTTTTTAAAGATTCTTCTGAATTCTGTTCGGAGGGCGGAAACTTGCTTCGTAGGGATATCGATATTACCTGTAAAAAAAAAAGAAAAATAAAATAGATATAGACAAAAAGTTTTGTTCCTACATGAAATGACTCTGTGTGATCCACACAATAATATTGTTGTGTCAAGTCAGAGTATGCATTTGAAATTTTCGAACCTATCGACACGACTAGTGTTTTTTTTTGTGAAGGGAATATCATCCAATGACTTCTCCCGCCCAGGGCCGGGCATGAGGGAGTGTCAGACTCTTACTGACTAAAAACTCCCCTGTTCCTGCTCTGGGCCGAGGTCACGGTGCCTCATTGCGCTTACCCCGCAACCCCGGCTGAACATCAGCCCTATAGGGCCCCGTCTTTTTTTTTTTTGTGAGGGGAAAATCATCAAATGACTTCTCCCGCCCAGGGCCGGGCAGGAGGGAGTGTCAGACTCTTACTGACTAAAAACCCCCCTGTTCCTTCTCCTGCTCTGTGCCGAGGTCGCGGTACCTCATTGCGCTTACCCCGCAACCCCGGCTGAACATCAGCCCTTTAGGGCCCCGTCTGTGAACGCTACGCGCCGTACGCTCGGGCCTGGTTCTGGTCGGGCGGCGAGCTGCCCTTACTCGCCGACCGCAGGCCCGTACTTACGGTGGCCGGAGATCGTCCCTCGATCCCCGACGCCCGTAGTGTCGCCAGTTGCGGCTGCTGGGGCGTGAGGAGGAGGATTGCTCCCTCACGCGGGCCGCCTCTCTCTTTGCGAGCATGACTGCTTCACAAAAGGAGGAGACGGCGTCCCAGTTCCTCTCACTCCGCACCATGGCCTCGACTAAGGCCGGGCGCGAGAGGTCGCCGCCGCCGATCACTTCCCTGAGGATACGGCGGTGCTCAGCCCAGGCAGGGCATACCGCTACCGTATGCTCCACCGTATCCTCTAGGTGGTCCTCACAATGACGACACTCGGGCGTTTCCTCCCGCTGAATCCGAAACAGGAACCTACCGAAGCTGCCGTGCCCGGTAAGCACCTGCGTCAGACGGAAGGTGAGGACGCCGTGGCGTCTCTCAAGCCACTCCTCAAAGAGGGGTCTTACCGCTGCTATGGTAGCGTGCCCGATAGGGCCCCGTCTGTGGTGGGCTATTGGCTCTTTTGAGGCGCGCGGAACGCTACACCCCGTACGCTCGGGTCTGGTTCTGGTCGGGCGGCGAGCTATTACCCTTGCTCGCCGACCCGCGACACGACTAATGTAGAGTAAACAATGAAACAATACATTTATTTTTGTAAATAGGCCATAAAACAGCACTTTGACACGTCAAAATTATATATGTAAAAAACTAGATGAAACCGGCATTTCCTATCTTACTACTCTGAGAAGAAATGCCAAAACAAATTCAGAGGTCCGTCTCTTTTCAAGTTTTCCGCATTAATACCCGCGTAAATATATGTTATTAATATGAAACGCGAAAGTTTACAAGTTAGTATCTCACCATTGGGTAGTTTCCTAGGTGAAAAATAAATTAATTCGATGTTTCAATACAATAAAATATTAAAAAATAACTACACTTTTATTCATCGATCGTATCGATCGAAGTATTGAATTTGACTAGTTGGAAACTATCGTATTGTTACTATTAAAAAAAAGTAACATACAACCAATGATGTATAAAACTATAGATACGTTGTCCGCGCTCTAAAATGACAACATGAAATGAAGGCAATTGACAACATCGCGCTTAGTTACGCACCAACATGCCGCGCGACGCTACGTTTGTTTTTAATTTATGTCTTGTGTGTAAACCTGTGCGAAACATAAAGAAAGCATGCCGTCGTGTGTGTTCAGACGATGTACAAATTATACTCCAAAAGTTAAAGACAAAAATGTGTCATTTCATGCGTAAGTTCACCAAACAACCTATTTTTATTTTATTTTTTCGTTGCCGGCGCCCGCCATCTTATGGCGGCCGGCGCATGAAGGTATAGTCACGTGCCGATGTAACTGAAGATGTATATTTATCTCTCTCTAGCAAAGGCATTCCACTATACGATGTCATATTTTCTTTCCCTTTCTTTACTCGTAGAAGTAGTTATCTAGTATTTTCGCCGTTTTTAAGCGCCGCGATGTTGGTTCATGACGTGTCTATATATAATACGTCATTGCATACAACAAAACAAATCACAAAATACCTGTCCGAAAGAACTAACTCCTTTATCAGTGCGTCCGCACCGATGGTAATTGGAGGTCTCCCGACTCTGTATCAAGCAGGATTTGGTGAGGGCATGGAAGACAAAATGTTCTATAGTTTGATTCGAGTCCTCTTGTACTGCAAGACCATTGTAATCCCATCCGAAGTAGAATATGCGGAGTAGGACACGACGGAAATGGTATCTGGAAACATATTATAAAAATATGTTAATAATAATTAAGTGAATCCGCAAGGCAGCTTGTGGCGAGCTGCTGGGCAGTGGCGACCCCACGGACCTGACTCCCGGTTAGTCTTCGTGACGAGCTGGAGTGGAAACTGATGAAGAACAAGCCCTCTTACCTCATTCTTGCCTTAATTGGCTGGCTTGAGTGGAGATTCGCAAGAGTAGGAGTTGAAGGAGACTCGGGGGAAGGATGTATCTCAGTAAGGTGCTGGTAGGGGTCTTGACCGTACTTCCGGGATTGCTCTGATAGCCGTGGGATGCCTCTCCTTCCCCAAGCAGCTCAACGTATGTTGCCTCCGTGTCGCTACATGCTAGCGGCCGTTTCCGGGGGCCCATTAATTGAGTTTGCCAGTCACCCCCTGCCTGTTTATCCGTATGTATCAATATTGGTCAGGGGCAGGGGCCCATAGTATTTCCATAGTTATCATATCCACCAGTCCATAGCAATCCATACCCATAGCCCTTTCAATTATTACCACAATTCGCAATAGTCCTGCATCAACCGGGGATTATCCTTGGGTGCACTTTCATAGTCCATACAGGGATGATCTCCGGCTGATGTCCCATTTCACCTAAAATTAAGTTATTCAACCAGCATCTGCGAGTTGGCTTTGACCCTCATACACCTTCCAAAGGTCCGGGATCCTGTGATCCCATGAACGGAAACGAAATTAAGTGTACAGCAGAAGTAAGGCACATTAACAAACAGTAATAAAAATTAAGCAGAACAAGACATGATTTTAACGTTCTTGAAAAATGAAGGACTAAAAAGTTGAAACTGAAACAAAACCTCAGGAAAACTATATGACTTAACACAAAACCAAGTTCTAATGAGTATTTATATTATTAGTAGTACGCGTATCATGTATTAGACAGCGAATATACATTGATTGTAAATAATTCTTATCAAACTTACTTGCTAAAATCCACCTGTCTTTTGTTTTCCTTCGACCCACTATCTGATGAAGATTCAGAGAAATTCTTGCTTATAATATTCTTAAGCTGTACATTATGCGCTTCTAGTTGTATTATCCTTGCTATAAGTTCCTGTGAAATACGAAACTTAAATGAAAATAAAAATTACGAAGAGGTTATGTTTAAAAGATCGTGTTTTAACACAATAAATTAACCTCTTTACTCCATTTAGATAATTCTTCCTTTGAATTTGTGTCTGAACTTTTCTTTTTTGGCGCCATGGTTATTTAAAACACGATGCTTATAAAAAAATAATGCAATGTTTACAAATTGCTTGCAACAACAAAACAAGCTGACTTTGACAGTAACAGTAACAGCTGTCCGTTTGACAGTAATTCTACTTCTTAATATCTTCAACTGTATAACCACTAGTCTTTTAGTCAGAATTTTAGTACGGTTGTATTTTTATTTGAGCTCGTTTTCTTTTACTTAGCCAATTTTTATAGTAATGTAGACTCCATTGGCCACAGATATAACAATATTGAGGATTAAATTATTACGTAAGATCATACAAAACTTCACACATTTAACTTATTCACTACCTTACAGGCACCCCAGAGACCTAACCCAAATTCACTGACCTTAAATATTATTTATATTGTATTTATTTAAAAAGAACTCTCTTTTTGTTCTGAATTCTGTGAAAGTTTGCAAATACTTTTACAATCACTTACCTATATAGTTCCATACTTTTTTTACTATGCTTGTTTAAAAATTTATTTTTTTATTTCGGAGTGGAAAGACATTTTTCCGGTATCACGCTTGGTGGTAAACGATAATGGAGCCTACGATGGAGCACGCCTACCCGTAAGCAACCTATTCACTCGGGCCTTGAAGACATCCTTCGGGGAATACAGACTCCGGCAAAGAATTCCACTCCTTAGCGGTTCGGATTATAAAACTGGAGGCGAACCACTTCGTGTAGGTAGGATATCCACCATAAATCGATAACGTTTTGCCGATTGTCTGGTGGTACGGTGGTGGAAATTACAACTATTCGTGCGAGCATGTCTGTATTTATATTGATATTAATACTTTATTGATGTGAAAACAAAACAATGACCACCTGCATCTAAAATTAGAAAATATTCATTAATAATTCAAAAGAAATCGAAGGGTGTGATTCCAAATTAGAATGACCTTTTACGACGATTTGTTTTTACCCAACTATTATTATAACTATACAGAACTATTACAACTAAGTACTAGGAACGTTTTAATATTTATTTGACACCCCTTGTGTAATAATTGCGTTTGATTGTACCTATTCTTGATATTTTTTGCTAAACAGTGATGAAGAAGCTTCGTCAAGACAAGTTGTAAGGTAGTCTACATCTCATAGGTAGCCATAAATCAAACTAAGGACTACCTAATATGCAATTTTTTTACTACCTGATGGTAAGCAATCTGCCTCGCCTATACCTACACATCCGCAACTCCAGATGAATAAGTATTCCTTTTTTTTTTTTTTTGATATGGAAATAACATCAAGTTACTTTCCTCGCCTACATGAACTTGGAGAAGGTGTCAAATTCATACTGGTTAAAAACCACCCTGGCTCTTCCCCTGCTTTTTTTATGGTATTGGTTGCCAAATGAGCAGACAGATTACCTGATGGTAAGCAATCAGCGCCGCCTATGGACACCCGCAACGCGAAAGGGGTTACGAGTGCGTTGCCGACCTTTTAAGGATAAGGATTTTGGTGATTTAGGGATTGGAGAGGGATCGTGGGAGGTCGAAACACAAGACTGTGTTTGTTTCACGTCGGTTTTCTGTGAGGCCGTGTTATCACTCCGGTTGAGCCGACCCATTCGTGACGAAGCATGGCTCTCTTACACTTAAAGGGGATATTACACTTTTTTTTGTAATAATTGCGTTATAAGTGATTGCTTGGTATTTTTTTGCTACACAGTAATGAAGACTTGTAGTTGTATGCTAGCCTACACCCCGTAGGTATCAGGCACAACATCAGACTTAGGATTATTGAACTTGGAGAAGGAGTCAACTACTTACTGGCTAAAAACCACCCTGTCCCTTCCCCTTCTCCAGGCCAAAGCCGGGGTCGGTACTATATTTTGCGCTTTCCCCGCAACCCCGGCTGAACATCAGCTCACTTAAAATATATCTGTGGTAACACAAAAAGAGTTCAAGTGCTGTCAAGTGCGTCAAAGCGTTAACGACCTAGTGGGCATTATGGGTTGGTTTAATAACTACATCTTCAAAAACGAAAAATCTTAATTACACTATTAACGTATAGAACCGATAGAATCCAAAACTCCTAGATCTACAGTCACCATAAAAAACAACTCAACGAACCAGGCACTCGAATGTCCAAACCAGACGCAATAGCCATTCTAGACACCAACAGAAATAGACACAAATCCAGACCCAATAACAAACAAGACACCTAATCTGACCATGACGATTTCCACAGAAAATACCTTGAAAAACGTACCGTCAATAAGCATTCCTATTTCAGTCTGAAATGTGTTAAAATATTGACACTGACCGCGACCGGGTCATCGTCTGCGTCACCACACTATACCACCCACCATTACACTGAAGGCAGGGCCGGATCTAGTTTACGATACCAACATCTTGGGTCCCTTTTCATTTTATTGATCTGGCTGTTTTTGTGAGAGGAATAAAATGAGTTCTCCCACCCAGTGTCGGGCGGGAGCGAGTGTTAGACTCTTACTGACTAAAAACCCGTTCATTCTCCTGCTTAAGGCCGAGGCAGCGTCGCCATATTGATCTAGCTGACGTACTGAGTGAGAATTGTATATCATCCTCAGTTTGTTTTTCCGGTTACAAATTAAAAAACAAACAATGTGTAGTGTGTAGTGTACCCACGATGCAGGAGAAAATCCTGGTGCTGGACACCGTCTTAAAAAAGGAGAAAGGGTAGGATGGGTGGTGGTACTAATTTTGTGAGACTCCCATTAACAGAGCAGATTATTAAATTACAGGTACATAGTCACATTTTTGGGCTGATGTTCAGCCGGGGTTGCGGGGTAAGCGCAATGAGGCACCGCGACCTTGGCCAGAACAGGAGAAGGAATAGGGGGGTTTTTAGTCAGTAAGTGTCTGACACTCCCTCCCGCCCGGCCTTGGGCGGGAGAAGTCACTAGATGATTATCCCCTAAAAAAAATAGTCACATTTTAAAGCTCTGACGATAAAAGAGGGTTGTTGTAAGTTTGACGTGTCTGCCTGTCTGTCTGTGCCATCCTGGAGCCTGAACGGATGAAGCGATTTCATTTTTTTTTTTTTTGTATGACTTATTTTTTATTTATGTTTATGATTTGTGACTTGACTTACGTGCTAGTGTAGACATGCTTGAATGTGAATGATGAAAATCGGTTGAGCCGTTTTGAAGTTATGGGGGTGCAAGTGGGAAAGAGTAACCGAAGGTCTGCAAATATAATCAAGAGAGACCGTAAAATAATAGTAGACAATAAAAAAACTGGAGGGATCTTAGATTTTTTGTCGGGGTTTTTTTAATTCATCATCGTGTATTTGTGTATCTACTTAGGATTTCAAAATCGGAATAATAACACGGTCTCATAGAAAACCTACCTGAAATCACTGGAAGATCTATCCTTTTCGTGGAGGGAATGAAGGGAGGGGCCCTTAATCTTAACCCTAATCACCAAAAGGCCAGCAACCCGTAACTCGTTTGATTTTAACTTTGGGCTATTCGCATCATCAGGTAATCAGTATTTTCATTTGCCGTCCTACCTAACACATAAAAAAACAGTTGTAAGCAGACGGGGCCCAATAAAAGGAAAGTCCCATAAATCCAGGGCCCCAAAGCATCACAATCCGGCCCTGTCGACGACCTGTTTAGTGATGGATGCTTAGACATTTCCTATGTTTATACAGGGCGGTCGTACGATACTTCAGCGTGATTTTATTACTATGGCACTTAATAGTAATTGGAAGTTTCACGTATGGCATTATAATGCAGATTAGAGTAAGGGAGACAGGTGTATTTATTAAAATTTCTGTCCTTTACGTTTTTGAAGTTTCAAAAGTAACTGTTTATGGTTGAATTTGGATAAATTATTTTGTTATTCAATTTTAAACATTACATACGTATGTATTTATTCTTTCCTTAGGGTTGATTTTTCAATGATAGATAGCTAGTGGAATAATTATGATGCTGTCGCGTCAGAATGTTTGTATAAGACAGTGACAGCAACAATTTTATTCCTCAGATAACATTTATCTGACTATTGAAAAATCAACCCTTACTGAATCAAATAAATAGATACCTTCTTACGAGGCCCAATTAACCTCCACATACTTACCCATTCAATCACCAAATCTCCAAAACCCTGTTCCCCAAAATTGCGATATTGCGGGTGTCGTAGGGACCCATGGACATCCGTCATACCGAACGAATTAGGATTGCGTTGTCGGCCTTTTTTGGGGATGGATACGGATTAGAGAGAAGAGCAGAATTTAGCTTTCGGTAGCCTCACACACACAGCGAAACATAAAGCAAGCGTTATTTCACGCCTATTCTAAAACCTACCTAGATATTTATAACTAGCTACTCTCGCGCGGTTTGACTCACTGCTCGGCTCCGTTTGATTGTAGCGTGATGTTTTATAGCCTATAACACTCAGGAACATTGTAGCTATCAATCTGTGACAGAATTTTGGAAATCCGATCAGCGGTTCCAAAGACTACCCCTACATACAAACTTACAAATTTTACCTGTTTATGATATTAGTATAGACTAGTCTTCGCCCGCGTAGGACGTTGATAAAACGTAGCCTATGACCTATTCCGGAGTGTATCCTATGCCTGTGCCAAATTTCATCCAGATCCGTCCAGTCGTTTTGGCGTGATTGAGTAACACACATCCAAACATCGTTACTTTCGCATTAATATAATATTCGAAAGATAGTGGAAACCAAAACAATCGCTTTATATAAAATTCTACACGTCATTATAAAAGAAATCGATTCCATGATTGTCTCTTGGAATCTCCGAGGGAAAGTCTACAGCTGTTACCATAAATACCTAAGTCGTGAATTTATTGATTTGTGTGTATTATATCAATGATATCGCAAATTCAGTGTGTATGATGACACATGCTTCCTTTCTGCATACATTAAGTGTGGGAGAGCCATGCTTCGGCGCGAATGGGCCGGCTCGACCGGAGTGGTAACACGGCCTCACAGAAAACCTGCGTCTAACGTTGTGTTTCGCCGTGTGATTGAGATTACCGGAAACCCAATTCTTCCCTTCGTCCTGAATCTTCAAATCCCCTATCCTTTCATCGCTCGGGTGGATCAAG